AAAATCTATTGATATTGCTACAAATAAGCACTAATAAGCTCAAGAACAGATAATGTTTTAAAACATTTTATTATATGTATTGTCAGTGGACAGTGATCACCGTGTACCATCCTACCTATATGCTATATTAAACAACTATCACGAAATACAATTATTTGTATTAGAGTTATAATAGCCTAATAGGTATACCGATTTAAATGTGAGTGAAAATGCACAATTGCTAAATTATACGAATAAAACTTTCTTTATACCTAGTAGTAGTATGTTTAAAGTACATTAATTTGTTTCGATTTAACTTTGTTTCTTTGTAGCTGAGCCAAAATAGGTGGTATGTACCAACTAAAATATTTTATTTTAGTAAAAAAAATATTAATAATTTGTATTCGTATATTTTTCGCTTAGGTRTAGGTAATATTATATATAGGTAGCATGTAAAAATTATTACTTCTTTCTACAAGACTACATATCATATATTATACGTAATTGGTAGACACCTATATTATTATTTAGTAACAGCCCCAAAATKTATCGCATAATATTTTCACAATAATCAAAAACTATTTGCCAAAGCTAATACCTTAAGAGTAAAAAATACGTAATTGCTTTTAAAATGTTTCAAATAATCTAAAACGCCTTACTATTCATGTTCTGCCATCTAGCGTTCAACATATATCATTAAACGGATCAAGTAAACGAACATACACCATGACATCTAAAATGGAAATGGATAAGATCGAGCTGTGTCACTGTGTGAAAAGTAAATTAATTTTAGATTTAAGTGTGTAATTCGACAATTCGAGCATCGACGACTTACATTCTTATTTATTAATATAATATAATTTAAATAAATGGAACTTGTCGGGGTCAATTCGTTATTGACAGTTTACTATGAGTGACGGGTGTGCCACACATCGACGCACTGGTAGCTACTGGAGCTCAATAATAAATTAATATTTATAAATAACTTATTTAAACAATAATTTTGATTGTTTTCCAAATATTCATCTTGTTGTTACATATTACTACGTGTGTTTTTAAATAGTTGTTTATTTTGTAATTKTTATCTTCCTTACGGTTTAAGCTAAAATTGAAAAATACCTAATTAAAAAGTGGTTTAGAGAAACAGCGCCTAAAAGAAAAAAAATACTAATCAAAGCCGGCTCTGATCCGCAAAAAAATAAGTTATCGTTTTCAAAGGAAGTCTAAATTACAAATGTCAACTCAAACACCTACTTGTGCCTCTTATTCCCTTAGATTATTATTTTCATTTTGTGAATTCATGAAAATGTTGTTTGTACTTTTTTAATAGGTACTTTTATCATTTATCCTGAGGTGAGCTCTAACTTATGTCTATAGTTATTACCTACTTATTATATAAGATATTATCGTTGACAAGGACAACACGTCATTTTTGCAAGTTCACAATTTTATTGTAGCTGTTAATTTTTACCGTGATTGCTAGGTATCTATAATATGATTGGTTCATATTCATTTAATAGAAAGCATCAACAATTGAAAAAAAAAATCAATTATTATGAGAATAAAGGCAAAATAAGTAGATAACAGTTTATTTAAGTATAAAAATAATTGAAACTAAATAGTGAAGTACATTTATATATACAGATTATTTTTTTCCACTAATTATTTGTTATTAAACACTATAATACCCGTAAAATTGTATTATGATCAGTGGCGTCATATTTTGGGGAGGGGCAGGGTGGGCATTTGCCCCCCCCCCTTATCGTTATCATTAGCGGGCCGAATATGGGCCCCAAGCCCGCTATAAATTAACATTTCAAATTATTTCTTTAGCTTCACTAATATAGATTTAAATCAAGCTATTGACATGTTTGGTACTATGAAGACTAGAAGATACCCAGTTAATGTCTAGCATCTTACATTCTAACTATCTAAGTAGCACTTTAAAAACATAAATTAATAATAAATATTTAATAGTTTATTGTAGGTATGTTTTGTTTAATACATTTATACTCATACCTATTTGGCKTAAATAGGAGACATCAATGGCGGTAAATTTCCTCTCAAAATAAGTCATCATATAATAGATAACATTGGGTTGGTGGCTTAATATGACTTTCTGGTGGATATTTTTTTTATGATAAACGCTGACAAACTTGTGAGAAATTTTGTATTAAATTTTCAAATCTAACAAGGTATTGAAGTCGAAAATCAAAGCATTTTACTTCCCCAAATCGTGATGACAGACACAAAAAAAACACACACACATCATGGTAAAATCAATACATTCCTCGCTCCGCTCAGAATCTAAAATGCTATAATACGTAACTAGTTTCGCGATTTGGAGGTTGTTTTGTAACTCTAAGACATTTAAACATTGTTTAGTCCTAATATTTATTTATCTATGCGATCTATTCTTTATTAAGTTTATTATAAAATTATATATAATTTTGTTCCGTTTCTTAATAAAATAATAATTCATGGACTTTTCATAACATGTAGGTACTTCCAATCGGCAATTAATAAATATTCTCAAGCAACATATTTTAATTAAAAATTATATAAATAATAGATGGATATTGACTAAGCAAGTCAAGGAAAAATATGTTTTTTTGTACTTCAGTTAAAAGGTAATCAAGGAACTAAAGAGTACTATCAGTCTCTTGCCACTTCTAAAAAATATTTTTAATAATTTTAATTTTTTTATTATTACCTAGGTTACTTATAAAGTACTTATTAAACTACATAATATTAGTTATTAAAATTGTAATATTGAGTTTGAGTGCAAAGTGTGGAATGCTTGTTGGAATAATTTAATAAAATAACTTACTGTAACCCTGAATTAAATCAAAAGTAATAGGTATGTCTACTTTTTATTCTTTGACGTTTACTTCAAATTATTAGCCAAAACATATTAGTTGAATCAAAAAAGAAAAAAAGTTTTATTAACCATTTTATTATATGTATTACCTACCTATAGGCTTTAGAGTTCTTGGTTCAAATATGTTTATCATTTCACTTTAAGGGAAGATACATTTACATTATGAGCTAATAGTTACAAATTCAACTCCTACGATTACTAAATAAGCCCAAATACAAGTGGATTGAAGTGAAATTAGCCTCAAAAAATTAACWCTCCTCCTAAAAAAAAATCTTCAATAAATATTATAAATTATTATAATATATAAATAAAATGTACAATTTAATTTAATTATGTAAAATAGGTAGTACAGTAGTACAGTATAGAATATTTCATGTTATTTCCTATGTTTTGTTGTTTTATAGTTTATTCAATGTGTTAATTACAGGTTATCAATGAGTTTTTATATCTTTCATTTCCAGAAAGTTGTTGCATTTTATGTTTCTAAACTTACTACCTAATTCCAATTAAAAAAAAAAAAATTGTTTTATCATTTTCTGTGTGTCAAAACTCAAAATACTAGGTTTTATAAGCACTTTAAAGTTAATATTATCAACAATACGAGTTAGAAAATTATATATATATATATATATAATTATTTAGTATTTACCAACTTTTATGCAAAAATTATGAATTGATACCAACATTTAAACCATTTAGGTAACCTGGCCCTAAAGGCTTAAAAGTTATTCGGTACTTGAATAACTTCTATATAATAAAATATATTGTTTTAAAAATTATATTGTCTTGTAACTTAACATAGTATTATAATAATAAAAAATATAAGAGATGAAATTAGTAGAGCCAGGCTGAATTCAATTTATATTGGTTATATCTGTTACATTTATATCATTTACTATGTTTATGGTTTATATAATGATGGTTAAACGGTTTAAAAAATGAAAACCATTATTAAAGTTAAAACACTCGCACTACATAGTGTAAGAAATTATAACCGATTTAATTCCTAACAGTTTTAACGCCATCATATAAACATAGTAATTATGTATTATTTACATACCATATTATAAAGATTTTATATTATAATTTTCTATACAGGATATGCCTAAATAGATTTGTTTTGATAGTTATTATTAATTATTATATATTTTTATTTTAATATAAATTTTATAATTTAACATGGTTCAGACTACCATAGTAAGCTTGTGACCCAGTAGGACCATTCTCACTGTCTTGCCTGGTCAGTCTGTTCTGACTTTATTTATGTGATTTACTGTATACAGATTGATGTAATGACTTATTTTAATGTATTAAAAWWGATTAAATATTAAAAAAATTGTTAAGGAGTATACAAAGTTAACTATAATCATGTAGACATTATCAAAAAATACAATAAAACTCTAAACCACTGCCAAACAATTATCATAATAATATTTTAGATTGCAACATCAGTTATATGATGATAAATAATTAAATAAATATTACAATATAAAAGGTATACACAGTTTATTTATAATTATATAAAACAAAAATATTGTACAAGTCTTTCACAAGCAACACAATTGAC